CCGTAACACGATCTTGCGTTATCATTGTTATCTCGAGCTCTGTGTACACGTAAAAATAGTTAAGATAAACCTGCCCGATAAGCATCATGCATACAACACTCTTGCATTAACATCGTTACTCATACACAAACTTATAACAATAATAATATTAATAAAAATGGAACCAGCGAGCTAGCAAGTGTTAGTACGCAAACTTTATATTAAGTCCAAGTCTCAATACAAGGCCTTACTTGCCTCTACCTCCTGCACTAACTGCGATCCTTTGAATTAATTCTTCAACAACTTCTTATCTAAACTCTTTTATTTAAAAACAAACCTCTGATATCTTTATCAATTAATGATTAAATAAAGTCGTCTAAAGAAATATTTTTACTTTTTATTGATATATCAGAAAAGAGTGAAATTAAAAGAAAATCAATTTATAAAGTAATTTTTAAGGAAAAACAGTCGGAAAAATTATTAAAAATTCTTTTTTTAACTTATTTACGAATTATTGGAAAATTTTGCAAGCTCTGTACAAATTTTTGGGATAAAATTGAAAAAAATCAATCAATTTATTAAAGAAAATTTTAAAAACTCTATATAAATTTTCTAATATAAAAAATCAATCAATTCATCCAAGAAAAATTTTTTTAAGTCATTGGAATTTTTTTAACACTATACAAATTTCCAGAATAAAAAAAAATTAATTGATCAAGTTATTAAAGAAAATTTTCCATAAAATTTTTCTTCAAATCATAGAAAAATTTTTTTAATTCTATTCAACTTTCCGGAATTAAAAAAAAATAATTAACTTAATCATCGAAGAAAATTTTCCATAGAATTTTTTTTCAAATTTAAATTTGTATTTGATTTTACTCATGTTACTTATTTATTTTATTGTTTTGCATTATATTAATATGTATCTGCCTAATTACCTAATTACACTATTTAATTATTACTCATTAATTGTATTCAATCTTGTATTATTGCCATTCAGCTGAGCTTTGGCATATAAATTTGATAAGTAAATAAAATAAAATAAATTATTCAAAAATTCTTAAAATTTCATCCAAATTTTCAAAATAAAACTAAAAAAAAATCAATCAATTAATTAAAGAAAATTTTTTTTAAGTCATTAGAAATTTTTAAAAACTTCATACAAATTTCCGAAATTAATAAAAGTCATCAAAAAAATTTTAAAAGTAAAACTAAAAAAGATCGATCAAAAAGACAATACAAAGAATGACTGCACAAATTCCACCTAAAAAAAAAAAAACTTCTGTCCTAAAAAAATTCGACACAAATCCTCACAATACACAATATCCCCATCCATCGTAGCGCTGTACCTCAGGATAAGGACCTTTGGTTATCGAGTGCGAGGGTCGGTATTAGTTTGGGGAGGGTTGCTTTCTCCCGAAGCGGGGTTCGGCGTATCCACAAGGGTGTAGGGTGCAGGGTGTAGGGTGTGGGGTGGAGGGTAGTAATATCCATAGTAGGCGTTCGGGGAGGATGTCGATGATAACCCGATAGTGGGAGAAGCACCTTGAGGTAGAGCGGGGGCGGACAGGCGCGGACGATCTCTCCCGTCCCGGTACTAAATTCTGCTCGGTCCCTCAGTCGTCTTTCTCTCGTTTGTTCTACTCTAGATTGTTGTTAATAAATAGTCCTATTATTTATGTTTTACAAGCCGAATATTTTTATTATCAAAAGTAACAACTAGAATAGTTAATTAATTAATTAACAAAAATCGGGCGCGAGTGTGTGCTGTGTTATTAAAATTATTTCATTTTTTTAGGTGATGTACCGCGTATTATTATCATTTAGTAATAATATTTAGTGATAATATTGTTGATGTATTTGGGTGTTGTGTACCACGGATTTACTGAGGAGACTCATCCCGGCCCAGAAAATATGACTTTTGGTGAGTTTTTTTCCTCGAAAATTCATAAATTAATTCATTAAATTAATTACTTTTTTTTTTATGTGGAATGTTTTTTTTTTTCGTTTTACTGTCAGCATGATTTTTTAGCACGGTGTTTTTTTAATTTCCGCATGAATAATTAGCATGGATAGGCTTAGGAAATTTAAAAAAAAATGCACCCAGTGTGTGGGACACTCGGACCCCTATAAAAAAAATAAAAAAAATTAATTAGGGTATTTTCGCGGACGATGTAATTATTTAAGAGTGAGTGAGTTATTTCGAGTGGATAGAGTATGTAGTAATAGCATAGATGTGTGAGAGGAATTAACGATAGTATTATTACATCAGTAATGTATAATACAGAGAGGAAAATATAAGTACGAAGGTGCAGAAATATATTTTAAATATAAAAAGAGAGGGAGGCAATACCAACTCAAACCAATACAACACGTGTTCCGCGGTTAGTCTCCAAAATCCATAAAACGCATGCTAAATATAAATATATATTACAATACATTTATATATATATGGATTTATATATATGTGTATTTTGCATGATGCACTGTCTAGTCCCTCTGTTTTCACTACATGCTATTAAATTTTAGCCTTTGGCTTGGGTTAGTTTGTTATTATTGATGGTAATTATTGACGGGGATGGGAAAGCGCAAGTGAAAATTTGGTTTTTACGAGGATTGTTAATTTAATAAGGACGCAAGTGCACAGCTTACGAACCAGCTGAGGTCAAACGATCGATACTGTGCGGACTTGTGCGCAACTACACATTATTATTATGTATTTCTTGTGTGTATTGTGCACACTGTTTACTACCTTGTATTACTGACTCTATTACATATACATTATTACATATATATTATGTATTATAAACATTTTTGTGTTTATGTAATGTATATGCAGGAATTTTATAACACTATTGTTGTTGTTATTATTTTATGGGTTTTTTTTTATGGATTTTTTTTTGTGGTCGAGAAAATTTTGGAGGAAAATTCTAAGGGTGGTTTTTATTTTTTTTAAGAAAAAGTTAGTTTATTTTTTTTGGGGTAATTTATTGGGGATTTTTTATTGATAATTTTATTGATAATTTTAGTGATAATTTTATTGATAATTTTTTGAGGGTTTTAATTTATTGGGAAATTTTGGATTATTTTTTTTGGATTTTTAAGCTTATATTCCAATAAAATAGCTTTGAATTTTTTTAGGGAATATTTTATTAATTTTTGGAGGATTTTAATTTATTGGGAAATTTTTAATATTTTTTTTTTTATTTTATTAAGTTTTTTTTTCGATAAAAGAATTTTTTTAGGGGAAATTATTTAAATTTAAGAGTTTTATTTAATTTTGAGAAAAAATGTTTGAAGACTTAATTGAAGACTTAATTTTAATTTTTTTAATAAATTTTAGTAATTGTTTAGTTCCAGAGTTAATTTATTTATTAAAGAAATATTTAAAAAATTTTTTAAAAATTGGAAAACATCTAAATTATTTTAGAATAAGAAAAAAATTTTTTTTTCTTTGTAATAATGTTTTTTTAAACGAAAAAAATTTATTTTAAACTCTGGAATATTTTTTTTCTTTATAAATTCATTTTAAAAAAGACTAAATATTTTTTTTGGTAAATTTAATGAAAAACAGGAAAATTTTCAATTTTCCTTGAATTTATCTAAAAAACTTTATTTTTTTTATATAAATTATTCGGTAATTATTTACAAGTAGGATTTACCCAATTTTTGGCCATATTTAGATTAAAAATTAACATTTTTTAGTTTTTTTTTATTCTGCTTATTTATAATAAAAAATAGCGTGAAAAAATAATAAAGATTTTAATAGCTTTTTTTGCTTTTAAAAATTGAAAAGAATTTTGGCTCCCATATTTTTGGATAAAATTTCTATTTTATCTTTTTTTGATATACTTTTTATTCAAAAATTACATAGAAAAATGCACTATTTATAAAAAATAAATGTCACAAAATTTTCTAAAAAATTTATAAGTATTTTTGAAAATTTGTAAAACTTTTTATTTTTAATTATTCATTTTTTTATGTATTAAAAAAAAATAATACTAAAGTTAGCCAACGTTTTTAATTTTTTTATTTTTTTAATAATTAAATTAGAACAAAAAAAAATTTTTCTTATATTGCACTTACAGCTTTTAAAGTTTTTTACAAATGAAATTTTTTTTTATTTTTTTATAATAACTTTTTTAATGAAAAAAAATCTTAAATTTCGGCTAACTTAATTGTCATCAATAAAATCAAATAAAAGTTTCGTTCAAAAAAATTAAAATTAAAATAGTGGACCCTTTAAATAATTACCTTTATTTTACAAAATATTTTCACTATTATTACCGTAAATTTCCCGCAAAAAATTAAACAATTACTAAAATTTCCAATAAAATTACTCCCAAAATAAATTAAAAAATTTTTTTTGCTTCAACAAAATTTTCATTTTTTCTCAAAAATATTTAAAATTTTATTTTTTTATTTTAAATTTTCTCGGACCTTAATTTTTTTTTTTTTGTTAAAAAAAATATTTTTTTCAGATTGAAAGAAAAAAAAAACTAAATCTCGGTAAAGTAAATTTTAATAATCAGCTGACAAAATTATGTTTAATATTTATTTATAAAATAATTATTTATAATAAAATAATAAATAATGCATTATAAATTCCAGGCTAAAACCAGTTACGGGACTAATTAATATTATTTAAAGTTATAAAACTCAAAAAAGTTTTGTTAAAAAAACTTTAGCATTTATAAAAAATGCTGAAATCGCTAAACGCATTGGCGGGGAAAATTTCCCCGGGCTCACCGCCCTCGATCGGCAACAACTCAACCAAGATTTTAGTGCATAACAATAACAGTATGTGCAAAAATAAAAACAGTTTTAATAATAACAATAATAATAATAATACTCCTAATAATAATAACAATAATAGTTTGCTTAATAATAATAACTTAAACAATAATAATAGTTGTAATAAAAATAATAATCTAAATAATAACAATAATAGTACTACCAATAATAATAATCTTAATAATAACAATAATAATAATGATAATAAATCTAGTAAAAAATTAGAAATTGAAATAAGTGAACTTAAAAATTCAGTTATTCACAATAAAAGTGATAATAATAATAATGTCAGTAATAAAAACAATAATAATCTAAATATCAGTAACAATACTTTCCACCATCCACATCCTTACTCGAAGCATCAATCTACTGTTTCACATCATCAGTCTAGGACGCAGCATCAGCATCAGCAGATTGACAATTGCGATACTGATGATATTACGTAAGTATTTTTTTGTCTATTTTTTATTTATTTTTTTTTAATTATTTTTGGAAAATTAGAAAAATTTTTTTTTTTTGCTTTAATGGCAGACATTTTGTAATTTTGCAATTTTTTTTTTAATTATTTATATTAAGTACAATTTTTTTTTTTGGATAAATAAATTTATTTATTATTCATAAGTTGAATTTTTGAAATTAAAAAAAAATGTCTGCTATTTTTTTAGGAAATTTTATTATTTTATTTTACGGGGGTGATTTTTTGGCACACAATTAATAGTTTTTATAATTGTGTATAAAATTTTAGAGGATTTAAAAATTTTTTTGGGTGGAAATGAATGATTGAAAAATTTAGAGAATAATTTTAATTATTATTTTATAATTATTAGGACTTTAAATAATTTAAAAAAAAATTTTCTGCGAAATTTGAGAAGAAATTTCAATTTTATATTCTTAAAAATTATATTCTTATTAAATTTACTATGAGAAAAATTAATTAAATTTATACGGAAGAATGTTTAATTTTACTTTGTCAATTTTACATTGGAATAATGCAAAGCTTACATTAAAAAAGAGAAAGAGAGAGAGGGTCAACCCCAAAAATTTTATTAAAAAATGTATTTCTTATAAAAAGCTTTAAAAATATTAAACAGTAAAAATTTAACGTATTTTTCCGCGAAATGTGAGAACAAAAACTTTTGTTTTATTTTCAAAAAATTAAAAAAAAATGTTTCTCAAGTAATTTTTGATCGTGCATCATAAGGAATTTTTTTTATGTTAACTAAGATTTTTCTTTTTGAATTATTTTAGGAAACTAAAGAAATATTTTCCTTGGGAATTTTCACGAGGGTTTAACACTTCAATTAGAGGTACACTGGCCTCTAAAATTTTTTTAAAAGCTTCCCCATTCATATTAGTTAAAATGCAATTAATAAACCAAACCTTTGACTTTTTTTAATTTTTAACCTGAGAAAAAAAATATTTTTATTAAAAAAATTTTCTTGATACAAAAATTCATGTTCTTAAAAATTTTCAAGAATATATATTCTTAGCTCAAGAACTTGTTAAATTGATTGAAATAATTTTTACTTAATTTAAATAAAGCTATTCTTTGGTTTATCTATTATCCAAAGATAAATATTGATGTTCTTTTCTTCAGAAATTAATAATTAATAATAATAGAATTGTTAATTGAGTAAAAGTATTTTTTTTTCTCAGTGTAGCCAACAGTCTTGTGGACATGAAATTTTCTCAAAACATTAAATCTTTTCTTATAACAAAGCAACAATATTATTTTAGCTAAAAAAATTTGCAACAATATACAACAATAATGGAACTATGTCCGCGTATCTTTAAAACTTGATTCCCAATACCGAAAAAATTCCTTTGTTCCAGTATATGGTCCTCCGGAGGACACACATATACACATGTGTCTTTTAATGTATCAATATATGTATGCAAACAAACATAGAAACCCACAATAACATACACAAGAATACAGACAAAGGAATTATCCACGGTTTTTTCTCTTAAACTTTTTATTTACATTACGTAATCGTTGGTTGAAAATATATATGGTCAAGTAGAGAATGTAGTTAATAAACTATTACTTTTGTAATTTTTTTATGTTTTTTTGATAATTAATTAGTTAAATATCTAATCATAGGTTAAATTAAGACAGATTTTAGATAATTTCTAAAACTTTTTTGAACAAAGAAAAAAATTTATATAAAAAGAGAAAAATATTTTCTGGTAGAATATTTATTTATTAAAGTCCCAACAGCCTACTGGCCAATAATAGGGACATTTAATGATGCAATGATGTACATTTATAGTAAAGATTTATAATAAACTTAATATCAATTTTTTTTTGCTTATTTTTTCTCAAAGGATTTAAAGAATTTGAACTTTCAGTAGAATACTTAAAAAAAAATTAACTTGATTCGAAAGAAATATTCTTGAACCAAGAAAATAATTTTGAAGAGGGTAATTGTCTTGAATCAAGACAAAAAATTCTTGAATCAAGTAAAATTTCTTTAAATCAAGAAAAATTTATTAGTTCAAGTATTTTTCTACTCAAATTAAGAAGATTAAGCTCTTCAAAATTATATTATTGATTCAAGAACATTTTTTTGCTATGTAGAGGCGGTAAACTATTAATAATTAAAAAAAAAATTAATAATTAAAAATAAAAATTAATAATGAAAATGTTAATTAAAGCTTCTTAAAAAAAAAAAAAAAAAAATACATTTTTAAGATAATAAATAATAAAAATAAATGAAACTACTAATTAATTAATATTAATTTAACTAAAGATAAAAAATGAAAAATTATTTTAAAAAAGATTTTTAAATTTGTGTGCATAAATACAAACTCGCATAGAAACACACACATATTCATACATCGACGTAGGGATTATTGGTAGCTCCCGAACTCCGATTTTTGTCACGTTTCTTGTGTACATAGCACATTCCTTTACTACTGAAATATATATATATATATATATATATATTTGTACACATATATGCATCTTAGTTGTAAGTCCTCTAGGTGTTACACTTACATGCATAAAAGACAGTATTTTACACATATTATAGTTAATAATAATGAGCGTGTAAGTGAAGAAGAACAGAAGCAAATTTTTTGGGGGGCAGAGTTTTCTCAGTGTGCGGTCAGACAGACTGTAAGCTGGACAATGCTTGCCGATAGATTTTAGAGTTTATTTTATCTAGCATAATTACAAGTCTTTGTTTTAACTTTCACGGAGATCTATTTCATCTATTTCTTATCTATTTCATTTTTATCGCCTTTTATTGCTATAATTTTAAAATGTACTATACTTTGTTTAGCGACTACAAGTTATTTGAGTAAGTGTTTCTTTTTATTGGGGATTACTTTCCGGTAATTATTGCTTAATAGATACGGGGACAGACGACAATTTTTTTTTTTAGTGAAATTTATGGAAAAATTTTTAAGTGGTATTTTTTTTTTTACAGTGAATTTTTAAAGAAATTTTTTATTTTATGTTTTTAAATAATTAATTATAGATTTTTTACAATGTTAATTTTTTTATAAAAAAATTATTGAGCTTGCAGCGCGTTAAAATATATAAAGATATTTTTTTTTTAGTTTTTTATATAATTTATTATTGTAAAAAAATATGAATTTAAATTTATTATTATAGTTTATTTATTTTCTATAAGGGCATATTTTTTATTTTTTAAAAAAATAATGAAAAAATTGTCGAAAGTCTGGATCAAAATAAGCTACAATTAAATATTTCAATTTAAAATTTAAATAATTTATTAATAAAAAAAGAAAATATATTATTAAATAAATAATTAAAATTAAATTCTTAATTTAATATTTTTTATTTCTAAAGAATAGTTTCTTTGTTGAAAGAAATTCTGAAATTTAAAATGTCTGAGACTTGAGCTACTGTAAGAAAGAATTCTTTGAATTCCTTTAGAAGAAAAATAAGTAAACAAAAAATTGTTGTGAATATTTTTATAAATAGTTTATTGAATATTTTACTAGAAAATATGTTTAAGTTTTTATTATTTATTAATATATTTATTTTCTCCAAAAAAATTTTAAGAAATTTCTCGAAAATCTGTCCCAAGTTAACCTACAATATTCTTTTAATTTGATATTTAAATAATTAATTATTATTAAAAAAATATTTAATTATATTAATAATTAGAGTTTTCATAAATTTTCTGAAGATATTTTAAATTTGAAAAAAAATTTTTTTTGTACCAAAAAAAATGTTTCTAAATTAAAAATTTCTAACATTCTTGTCACTAAAACTCTCCTTGAATTTTTTTTTTTACAAACAAAGTACCAAAAACTCTTTGTATAATTTTTAAAAATTTTGGTAAATATTTACAAATGGGGTAATTTTAATTTTAATTTTTTTCAAACAAAATTTCTATTTAATTATATTGATATATTTTATTTAAAAAAAAAAAAATAAAAAAATGAACAATTTAAAAAAAAAAGTTAATCACAATTTTTAAAATTTTCAAAAAAATTATAAATTTTTTAGAAAATTAAAATACTTGAATTTTTTTTTTTTTTAAATATATATCAAAAAAAGATAAAATAGAAATTTTGTCCAAAATTTTTTCCAACTTTTAAAGGCAAAAAATTTATCAAAATTTTAATTTTTTTCTTTCACATTTTTTATTAAAAATCCGCCATAAAAACAAGCAGAATAAAAAAAAATTAAAAAATTTGACCCTACTTGTAAATAATTACCTTAATTTTCTACATGAAGATATTTTTATTTTTTTTTTCCAAAAAAAAAAAATTCTACATACAGTTTATTAAATTTTCTATCCCTGTATATTTTTTATTTTATTTTTTAATCATTCATTGTCCAATAATAAATCATTAAAATAAAAAATATTAAATTTTTTAATAAAAAAATTTTTTTATTAATTTATTAAAGCCAAAATAATAACAAAAAAAATTTTTACCTTCAAAATTTGTAAATTTGTAAATATTATTTTTAATCAAAAAAATCACCTCCAATGAATAATTTCCATAAAAATTGAGTGGGTCCTTGGGTTATTTAATAAATGTTATTATTATTTTATTTTATTATTTATATAAATTTGCTACGTGTGTATTGGTAGAACACGCAGTATTGATTAATTTAGTTTCACGTTTCTCCTCACGCATGCGTGTATTCTAGATGTTTCAATAAAATATTTCATTGTCATATTTAAAGTTATCGTTAAGTATGAGTACAAAATTTATTTTAATTATCAATTGTATTCGTAATAATAATTATAATTATTCGAAGGGCGGGCGGGGGGAAGGGTTAAAAAAGAGACACGAGGGTACATGTAATCTTTTTGTCCAGCATCAGTGACATCGCGGGCTCCGCCACCGAAGACAAGCCCGATCCCGACACAATCAAGATGTTTGTAGGTCAGGTGCCTCATGATATGGAGGAAAATGATCTGAGAACGATGTTTGAGGAGTTCGGACGTGTTCATCAGATAAATGTTCTCAGAAATAAATACACTGGCTCACATCAAGGTAATTTATTATATTTTTTCAAAATTTAGATTTTAATTTTGAATTTTTTAAGTTATGATTCAAAATTTTGGGTTAAATATTAAAGATACAAAAAAAGACCTTTTTTAGAGAGAATTTTATTTCCTACAAAAAAAATTCTTTATCAATTTTGCAATATCTTATCCTTTCTCCAAAATTTGAATTTAAAGACAAAAAACTGATTCGTGTACAGAAAGAAAAATTTCCTGACTGGAGAACAAAATTTAGAGTATAATTTTAATTATTAGGAATTATTTTTAAAAATTATAACTTTTGTAAGCAGAAATTTTAATTTTACATTCTTAAAAATGTAAATTTTATATCATAAATATTAAAAAATTACAGGGAAGAATGTTTAATTTTACTTTGTAAATTTTTTATTGAAAAAATGCAAAGCTTAGATTAAAAAAGAGGAGAAGAGTAAAACAGGGAACTCTAAAAATTTGGTAAAAAAAAATTTATTTCTTCTAAAAAATATTAAACAGTAAAATTAGTTAGATTTTAATTTTGAATTTTTTAAATTTTAATTTAAAATTCGGGGTTAAATATTAAAGATACAAAAAAAGACCTTCTTGTCAAAAAAAATTTTTTTTTCGCTCTAAAAAATAATTAGAAAGAAAAATATTTTCTTGGCTCAAGTGAGCCTTTTTTTCTGTGTAAAATAAAGACCCAAATTTTCATCATCTCGTCTAATTAATAATTAATAAATTAACAAATTTTTTTTTTAACTTCAAAATTACTCAAAAATATTATTTAAAATTACTATAAGATTTTATTTTCTAAAAACAGATCAATTTTTCTTTGCCATTTAATAACCCAAAATCATAACTAAAAATAAAAAGCAAAAAACATAATAAATAAAGCCGAGAAAAAAGACTTGTATTAATAAAAAAGAATTAATTAATAATTTTTTTTATTTTAAATAAAGAAGAAGGGGGTTAAATTGAACCAAAAAATACTTTGACAATTTTGATTATATTGAATTAAAGAAAAATGATGTCTTCTTTTTTGATAATAATAATATAATAACCAAATGATAATATTAAAAAAAAAAATTTATAATTATCCAGCCGCGTCAAGTGGTTCAATTTACCTCAACGCAGGGATAAATTAAAACAACGCATATTAAAAAGTAAACCAATCAGTTTTAATTGATTATTCATTATCTATTTGCATACATTTTTGTCCTTTAATTAAAAATTACTTTGCTTGTCGTTTAATTATTTGTGAAATGTAATTATGATGTGAAATCGAGATGCGCACGCAACTCTTAATGGCTAAGCCTGTGGTTCAACTGTCCCTAGAATAGATGGATCAATTGACCCCACGGAATATTATCGTGGTAATTAGTAAATAAAAAATTATTAACGAGTTGTTTGGCTATAAGTAATCACATGAATTATCAAAAACATCTATTTGGAGTGACTATAATTGAAAATTTATGATTACATTTAAAAATTATATAAATACTAAACTTTTTATCGAGAGCTAAAAAAAGGTTTTGTATACACTGATAAAAAGATTTGTTTATATTTAATAGGCTTTATTAACTGTTAATAAATGCTTTTTTAGGATCATAGTACTTACATAATTAAGAAATGACCTTTTAAATTGTAAATATTGATATTTTTAAAGATATTAGCTCATCCCGATGTTATACTCATTGAGATCTTTCATTTGAGTACCCACATCAATTTTTCATATATTTTATATATTTATATATATTTTACAAATACCATATATATAAAATATATGAAAAATGGCATGTAGGTACTCAAATAAAAGGTCTCGATGAGTGTAACATTGAAATGAGCTTATATCTTTGAAATAATAGTTAAGAAATTACCTTGTATTTTGTCAACTTTTAAAATTTTTAAAGATATACGCTCATCCTGATGTTACACTCATCGAGACCTTTCATTTAAGTATCCACATCAATTTTTCATATATTTTATATATATTATATATTTTATATATATGAATATATGACAAATATATAAAAATGCATGTGGGTACTCAAATGAAAGCTCTTGATTAATATAACATCGAGATGAGCTTATATCTTCAAAAATATCAATAATTAAGAAATGACCTTGTATCTTGTCAACTATTGATGTTTTTAATGATATAAGCTCATCCCGATGTTACACTCATCAAGGCCTTTCATTTGAGTACCTACATCAATTTTTCATATATTTATATATATTATATATATGTATATATGAAAAATATATCAAAATGCATGTGGGTACTTAAATGAAAGCTCATGATGAGTGTAACATCGGGATGACCTTATATCTTCAAAAATATCAATAATTAAAAAATGACCTTGTATCTTGTCAACTATTGACATTTTTAAAGATATAAGCTCATCCTGGTGTTACACTCATCGAGACCTTTCATTTGAGTACCCACATCAATTTTTCATATATTTATATATATTATATATAAAGGTATATATGAAAAATATATCAAAAATGCATGTGGGTACTCAAATGAAAGCTCTTGATGAGTGTAACATCGGAATGAGCTTATACCTTGAAAAACGTCAATATTTAGCAAAGTACAGTGCAATTTAACAAAAGTCATTATTTAATAATGCAAAATTTCAATTTTTTATAGTTGACGGCAGTCACGTAGTGACTGCAAGGTTGGTAGTAAATACTTATTAACTAACAATAAATGTACTTTCGTCCCAAATAAATATTTATTCAAATTTAATAAATCAAATAAGTGTTTTCAAATAAATTAAAAATTAAAAATTTTTTTTTAAATAAATAATGATTGTAAATTTCATTGGAACATAATTTTGCAAGGCTATTTTTTTCTTTATTGATTTGTTAAGTCCATTGGTTAAATCGACTCTCTTTTCCCTAAAAAAATGTAATATAAATTTTTCCAATGCGAAGAAAAGGTATTTTAATAATTAATTTCTTGGGGAAATAATAAAATATGAAGTATATATTTTATATATAAAATATATGAAATATAATATCGTACATCTTAGAAGCTATTCTATAACAGAGCCTGAGTGTACCGTGAGGGGATGGAAAATTATAGGGTGGGAAAATAAAAGAGGGAGAAATAAGAAGGAGTGAGTAACTGAGTAAAAGTGAGTATAGCTGTGAGTAGTCTTCGGATCGATGCTCAAACGCTATAGTCCAGGGTGCAGCTCTACCTACGTAGAGTTACTCACACAAAGTACCTGCTGTAGCGGATAGGAATCGAGGTAGCGCTAGCCAGGCTTGGAGCTTGGAGCTTGCCATACCAGGTCCGTAGAGCTTTCCTGGCATACCACAACCGTTACCTCGACTCGAACTCTACTCCACTCGGTTTATTGATCGCAGCCCATCCACGGCCGAAGAACACAAGGAACTAGGGAACCGAGGAACTCTCTAATGCTACGGAAAATATCGGAGACCTTGTCTTACACTCTAGAAAAATTCGGGATTATTTTTTATTGATTTTAGAATTATTTATTGATTTATTCACCCCAAATGTTTTTTATTGAAATTTCAAATTATAAATTAATTTATTTAATTTTTTTTCTTTTTAATAGAACCAAAATTATTTTTTTAAAATAATTATATTATTATTTTAATGTTCATTAATTAGTAAGGTACAATGAAAAATTGTAATTATGCAGAAGTGGAGCTTAAAATAAAATAAAAAATCGAAAAATTGATTTTTTTTTTAATTATTCATGAAAATTAATTTAGCAGATATTTAAGAATTTTTTTAAACAAAAAAATTATGGCAAAAAAAAGTGACATAGAAATTTAAAAAAATAAAAAATGCTATTTTTTAAAAATCATTTTTTGGAAAAAATTTATGTGTTAAAAAACAATTAAAAAATAGTTAAGTGACTGCTAATTTTAATGCCATAAATTGTTCTTCTTCACAGCGGATTTATGATAAAAATTATGAAAATTAAATATTTCATTTAAAAATTTAATTTATTTTAAAAAATATCAATTTTTTAATTTTTTACACTCAAAAATAGAACAAGTCCCACTTCTGCATAATTACCGGAAAAATTCACTATAAAAATTTTGGGGATGATTTTTAAATGATTTATTCACTTAGATAAATTTTATTTATAATAAAAGTGAAATCTTTATTTTATTTTAATTAAAATTAATATTTAAATATTTAAAAAAAAATCTGTTTTTTTTTTTACAAGAATTTTTTGATAAATTCTCTCTTTAATAATTTATTTGCTAAAAAATTTTTAAAATTGTCATATAAGTTAATTTTAGTAAAATTAAAGTAATTAATTTTATTTAAATTTAGTAATATATTTTTTTTAACTTTTTAAGTTAAATTTATTTATGAAAAAAATAATTTTGATTAAAATTTAGTTCAATGTTCCAGATAAATTTTTAAAAGTTATAATTAATATTTAAAAAATTGTTGAAGCTATAATTAAAATTTATTCTAAAAAACTCCCGATTTTTTACAGTGTAAATTTTCCTTTTATTTCTGTCAATACTCTTTCATAAGTTATTATTAATAAAATAATATTTAATTTAACTTGATTTTAATTAATTAATTAATTTGTCATTTCTGTCCAGGTTGCTGCTTTGTCACCTTCTACACAAGAAGAGCGGCGCTCGCGGCTCAAAATGCACTTCACAATATAAAAATTTTCAACGGAGTAAGTGCTCTCTTTTATAAATCCATTATTTTTTATTTTATTTATTTTTTTTCAAGGCTTCTTTTCTCAGGAGTTTAAAAAATTGTGTAGGGACTAAATAAATTTTTTTAAATTTCCGCTGGCGGTACTGAAACTAATCTATTTAGTGATAGACAATCACTAAAGTTTTCCTTAATTTCCTACAGCGTTAAATCTAATTTACTGTTTTATAGAATCAATTTCCTGTTTATTGGATTTATTTTATTATCTTCAGAACAATCTTAGATAAAAAAAAAAAAAAAAACAAAAATATAAATTTATATAATTTTACAGAATTAAAAAAATTTTTTATTATTTTAAAACCTTTTTTGTTTAAATCAAAATTAACTATCTGAATTTTTGTTTTAATTATTTATTTTATCTATATTATTAAGAGAATAAGGAAAATTTTGACTCCAGGAAAGTCATATGATAAAATTGGTTTTTTTAGTGAAATTTAGTGTCATTGCAAAGGTCTTGACTTGAATTTGTGCCTTTTCAAGGTTTTATATAATTCTTATCGATAGTCAATTTATTATAAGTATTTAGGCTGCATTCGAAAATGCTCTATCTCAAGATACATAATTAAGAAATTACCTTGTATCTCGTGAACTATTGACATTTATGAAGATATTAGCTCATCCCGATGTTACACTCATCGAGACCTTTCATTTGAGTACCCACATCAATTTTTCATAAAGTTTACCCCCTACCGTAGTCGCTCATGACCTTAGTAGTTTATGCGACTTTAAAAAAAAAAAAAAAAAAAAAAAAAAAAGAAAAAAATAATGAGAAAAAAAGGTAAAAATTAAAAATAACAAAAAAAAATAATTATTATTAAATAAATAAGCGGTCTTTGTAAGATATCACTTTATTTATATACAATACTGTATCATAATCTCAAGTACAAACATATAGTTCATTACGTTTCTTAATAAAATCAAAGGGCTTCTGCCCAAACAAATGTTGTTTTTTTTAATACTCACCTTTTAATAATTTTTTTTTATTTTTATAATCTAGATCATTAAGAGAATAAGAAAAATTATGATAAAACCGGTTTTTTTAGTAAAATTTAGTGTCATTGATGAGTGTAACGTCAGGATGAGCTTATATCTTTAAACATATCAATAATTAAAAAATTACCTTGTATCTTGTGAAATATTGACATTTATAAAGATATAAACTCATCCCGATATTATACTCATCAAGACCTTTTATTTGAGTACCCACATCAATTTTTCATATATTTACATATATTATATATATGTATATATGAAAAATATATCAAAAATGACATGTGGGTACTCAAATGAAAGCTCTTGACGAGTGTAACATCATAATGAGCTTATATCCTTAAAAATATCAATAATTAAGAAATGACCTTGTATCTTGTAAAATATTGACATTTTTTAAGATATAAGCTCACCCTGACATTACACTCATCGCGACCTCTCATTTGAGTACCTACATCAATTTTTCATATATTTTATATATTTATATATTTCACAAATACCATATGTATATATAATATATAAAAAATGCCATGTAGGTACTCAAATGAAAGCTTTTGATGAGTGTAACATCAGGATGAGCTTATATATTTAAAAACGTCAATAGTTAAGAAAGTACAGTACAATTTAACAAAATTCATTATTTAATGAAGCAAAATTTTATTTATTTATTCTTTATAGTGATTGCAAGGTTGCTAGTTTATTTTATTCATTTTATGATTAAAAAATATAAATTCTTATATGCTTAAAAAAAATCAATGATAAAATTCTAAAAATCATTTTTTTCTAATTCAATAATTCTTGAAAATTATTTCCTTGGTTCAAAATTTTTCTTCTAAAAAATTAATCAAATTTTTTCATCATACTGAAAAAAATTCTCATTTTATAAATCCAAATTTTTCCATTTTTACTTAAATAAAAATTTCTTATTTCAACCAAAAATTAATAAAATAATTATCTTCCTTAAATTTAATCTTTTTACAATTAAATAAATAAAAAATTTCCATCCGATTTACCATCAGCGTAAAAATCCAGCTTACAATCTCATTCGTCGAATGCCGCCACCGTATTGTCTAATGATAAATTGCGATGACAAATGAAGACACCTCGGACTCTCCCGATAAAAAACTACTGAGAATAATTGCAATTACTTTACCTCTCAATTAGTCACCACTCATAAATCATAACTCATAATTATCCTAACTAGAATAGAATAAAATAAAAAAAAAAAAAAAAAATCAATACCAATTATCGAGGTTGAAAACTAAAAAAAGTAAATAATTATTTCAGATGCATCGACCTGTCCAAATGAAGCCGGCAGACAGTGGCCACCGGAACGGTAAGTTACCTAAAATCAATTAGCATGTGTATGTGTTTTACATTAATTATAACAACCGTTTGTGTATGTGTATGTACATGTAACACACATTATTAAATCATCCATGTTTAATAAAATCTTATCTAATCTCTTCCATGGCTTCCAACCCAACTACTAACAAATCGGCCTACATATCACATATTACATATAACATATAATGAAAAAAAAAAAAAAAAAACATTAACAATGCTCGTATGTTTATCAGTAGGTCCAGTACAGGTAGAAAGAACGTGTAGCGAAAGACATGCAGCGTGGAATGAAACCACGGCTAAAAATACCCTGACATTTTGTTTATTTCTGATCACGCTCGCAAGGGCTCTACTTATTTTTCGGCTTACATTTACTATCGGATGTTTAGATTTAATTAAATCCTGAATGGAAAAATTTTAGAAAAAAATTTACGAAAATTTTAAACCTTGTTAAGAAAAATTTAATGTTTAAAATATAGAAAAACTTTTAGTTTTTTTTTAATATATCTAACTAGCCGGTATTTTGTAAAATCTTATTGTAAAGCGCATTTTATGATCTGAAGAAATTTCTTAAGTAATTAATCTGTAAAATTAGGGAGGATTATAAACCTGAATTTTATGAAAATTATAGAAAAATTGTAAAAAATAAATTAAATTTAGATATAGACTATTGATTTTTTTAATATAAAATTTTTGGTACACAGAAAGAAAAATTTTTTGACTGGAGAATAAAATTTTTGGCTCAAGAAAATTTGTCGGGTGCTTGAAGGAAGAACAAAGTTGTGTTGGGCGAAGTAAACATTTTTCTTGAAATTCTATTCTTGGTGGAAGTTATTTTTTATCATAAATACTTGATACAATAAATTTTGATATTTGTTTAAGATTTTTAGAGCAGCGCCACCTACTTGAGCTGAGAAAAAAATTTTCTCACCTTGAGAAAATTTTTCTCGAGAATATTTGGTACCCATTTTATATTATTTTAGCGTGCAATTATACATATTGAATGAAAAAAAATGATGAAGTATTATTTGATCTCGCCATTTGACATGTTAATCAATAAAAATATCAATAAAAATTTACTTCTATCTTTATATTTAATTTTTTGGAGCAAGAGAGAAATTTTCTGAAGGCAAGAAAATTTACTTCTATCAATAACTAAATTTTTTGGAGCTTCGATGAATTTTCTCAAAACAAGATTTTCTTGACTTAAATAAATTTTCTTGGATCAAGATACGTATTTCTTAAAGCAAGAGAATTTATTTTTGGAATAAGTCAAATTTCTTGTCAAAAAAATTTTTCGCTCAAGAAAATAATTAGGAAAAATATTTTCTTGGCTCAAATAAGCCTTTTTTTCTCTGTAGTTTTTAAAAGTTTAATGTACTAATTATGGCTAAAGTATTGAGGATAGAAAAAAATCATTAAATTTTCTACCAAAAAGTTCTTGTCAATTTTATCATATTTTTGAGCTTTGAGCAAGAATTTTTAAAATAAACTCCTCGAATAATTTATAAACTAACAAATTTTTTTTTGAGTTCAAAATTATTCAGAAATTTTTAAAATTCCAATAAGATTTTATTTCCTATAAGAATTAAAATTAAGTTAGCTGACATAAAAATTTTTAAGATTTTTTTTCATTAAAAAAATTTCATTTGAAAAAAACTGTAAGTGCAATTTTTTAAAAATATTTTTTTTGTTCTAATTTAATTATTAAAAAAAAATCAAAGAATTATAAACGTCGACTAATTTTAGTATCAATTTTTGGAGCAAGAGGCTGAATTTTTTCTAAAAAACAATAAATTTTCTTGGATCAAAATGCGTATTTTTTAAAGCAAGAGAATTAATTTTTGGAATAAATAAAAATTTCTTTTTAAAAAAAATATTTTCTTCCTGATTTTTATATAATACAAAATTCTTTTTTTTTAAAAAAGAATATCTCTTTTTTCTACTAAATTTACAGAAAAATAATAAGAAATTAAATTTTCTACATAAAAAATCTCTAAAAAAAAATCGCTAATTTTAAACTTAATATTTACAATCTAAATTTTTCTTAACTAAGGTTTAAAAAAAAATTTTTTTCAACAATTTTTTAACTAAGATTTAAAAAAAAATTTTTTTTAACAATTTCTCAAAAATTCCCCCGAAAAATGTACATATATAATAATATATAAATATATGTATATATATATATATAAAATTACACATGGTCGACAAATTAACAACGATAAGCTTAAGAATAACTAAGCTAAGCCGATAAGATATGATAACGAATTTGGTAAATGAAAAAAAAGAATTTGTTTTGGTACAACCTGTGTTACATGTTATGTGTTACATGTTGTATGAACACGCATGCTAGGTACGACTATTGTTGCTGTTAAAAGTAATATATTTATAAAATCTCCATATGTGAGTTGGTTTAAGACCATAAATATGTATGTGTCCCTCTCTTTGTGTGCACGGTAACTTTAAGAGCGGGAAGGGGGCAAGAGTACAAACAGACTTAACTGACTAAACAGTTAAATATATATGTGTGACATGTGTGTACGTGTTTATATATATTTATATATATATATATATAGTTGTCGCAACGTGTGTGTGGTGTATAATAGAGTATGAGAAAGAAAAAGAAAGACAAAATAAAATAAAGGTATGCGTATGATGTCGCGACGATGAACGATCCGCTCACTTGTTGAGTGTTAGGAGTACGTCGTAAGAGTGCACTCAGTCTACGTCTATTATTTTTTGTAATTACTGCACACGGTGCAGACTTACTTACGAGACTTACGCTACTAACTTACTTATCGTCGGTTTTCTATCCGCGAAATCTCGGCTGGAAAATTTTTAAATAATTTTCTTTTAAAATTGTGCAATTAAAAAATTATCCACTGCAAAATTTTGCGGAAAGATTATTTTGTTGCGCAACGACATGAGTGCTGTGTGGATTTTTTTTGAAGAATAATTATTGTCTGGGGGGGCCACGGCGCTGATTTGCGAGGGAGACATCAATGCCGAACTCGCGCCCTGTATTATATGTGGCACGTGGCATCGCGGTGCAGGGAATTAGATATATGTATATTTATAATATGAATTGTGATAAGTGTTAATTTCAATTAACAACCCAGAGGGCGTGTTCAGTGATACAGGCTTTGTAATATATATATGTTATATATTATATGTGTTGTATTTTAGATTTTATCGGGCTTTGTTCACTTGTTGTTATTGTTGGTTGGTTTTATTAGTTTGTTATTTATTTACTGGAGGAGTAAGACAAGATTTTTATTAGTGGACTTATTAGAAGTTTGCATGATCATGGCTATGAAGAGCAAAAAACAGTACGGTGGTGTCGCACATGTTAGTGCTGGTAGTCAGTATCCTGCTATTAATCAGACTTATTGGGCGCCGCAGTCTCAGACTGTACCCTACTCGCTTCCAGGTATGCTACCCCCTTTTTTATTGTTATGGGGAATTTGGGATTAATTTAGATTTTATTTTGGTTTTATTTTTTTTGGAAAAATTTTAAGAAATTTATTTTATTTTTTTTTTTTAATAAAATTTTTGATTACAAATTTTTTTTGGAGTAGAAATATTTTTAAATTTATTATATTAATTTTTTTATGAGACTGAAGTTAGCCATGTAAAAATTTTTGGATTTTTTTTATTAATTAAATTACAACTAAAAAGATATTTCTAAAAAATTGCACTTATAGTTTTTCAAGTTTTTTAAATGTGACAATTTTTTTTTAATGGTTTAATTGAAATTTTTTCAATAAAAAATTTATAAACATTTTGAAATGTCGGTTAACTTCATTTTCATACCCGGGAAAAACGGTTTAGATCTGACCAGATATAATTATATCTGGTCAGATCTATTTATATCTGATCAGACATG